ACTCGGGTTGTAACAGCTACAACCTAGGATCAACAACTCATACGGTTCACGGTCACCTACGTACAGACTTGGAGTTGCTGGCATAGTAGCTGCCTACATGCCTAGCCAGTTACAACTTCTACAGAGAGGGGTTGGGGTACGGTGACCTACCCTGCATAATGCTGCCTACCGCTGCCTCCAATTAGTGCTTCTGCCTATGCATACAGTCACTTCCTACGTAGTATATAGTTTGGCCTTCGGGCCCCCGAAATAAGACAGAGTTCACATCAATTTTCAACCTGAGTCAAGCAAGATCCATCCAAAATTGCGGTTGAAGAAAACAGTATACCGATTGTAGTTGTACATGTACCCTCGAATGAAGGTTCCCGTTCGATAGAAATGAGAGAGTCTACAGATGAGGTCGAGCCTGCTTAGCCGCAGTTCCCCATACTGATAACGTTTGTTGACCGTATCCAAGGCCTCGTGATCGATATTTACGAGCAGCGTGTCGACGAAAATGACCCAGTCCTCCCACTGCGTTTGGGGCGACAGTAATCCAAGCTCAGAAGCTATCTTGAGGTCGCTCGGGTGACGCACCAGCCAGACATAAGATAGCAAGAAGCCACAGGCACTGGCGTGGAGATTCGCATCGCTGCAAATTGTGTCCACCCAAAATTGATGGTTCAAGAGGTAGTCGGGCAGCGGTTTCAGAAACACTCGCGACTCATGCCAAACCAAGTGCAAGTCGGCCTGTTCGACGATGATAATTTGACGCTCTATCATCTTCTGCCGGTGTAGAGCCCGGGCGCATGTAGGCCTTCCTGCTAGCCACAAGTATTTGTGGATTTTGTTGAGTCGCGAGACGTCCAGGTCAAGACGCACGAAATCCGTATGGTTGTTGCCCAGGCGTACGAGGTTGTCTTGGTCACCGTGATATACTGCGGGCAAAGTTGAGTGTGCTGGATTCCCTGTTCGGATAGCACTAGTGGTAGGAGAGAAGGGGGGGATAACTGTCTTGGAGTGTCAGCCGCGATGAACATAAATACCCTAGAGAACTGACCGTGCGTTGTGCCATTTTGCTTAAAGCTTTAGTCCCCACATCTACGCAGGGGGTCAAAAAGGCCCGAGTAACAGACAAACTAGTAGCTCTTGGAGAGATGAAGAATGTGGGGTAGACATTTATCATGGCTCGAAGATTTGGTCCGTGCCGAAAGTCACGTTATCATCAAAAAGAGCAACCAGGATTGAGAACCTCTTGATATTTTTCCAAAAACTAGAAGTGATGCAGATACTCGCTCAGAAAGATCTAATAGCAGAGAGAGGGTCATCACGGGTTCGTCGCATTCATGTGCGGCTGAGGGCAGCTGCCTGCTTCAACGACATACCTATTTCGCCAGTCGCTCTTACAGCCCATTCCACTACGCTGTCGACTGAAGCCCTACATACTCGGAAGTATCGATATGGATCCTTCGAGGATAAAGTCTTTTTTGTCATTTCGCTACACTATAGAGTGACTACAGCTTCGCCGTACAAGGAGAGGCTGCCCCAACAGCACCTGAATTAGAGACGAATTGCACCCCACCGCTACAAATGTTGTGTTTCGGTCCTACATTGCGCAACGATGAATCAAAAAGCACAGCGTTATTAGAAAGAGACCTTCAATTTAGGTACATGCAACGGAACCAGGAACCCTATTACCCAAGACAGCCGACATGGATCCTTCTACGCACACGACCTGCACGAAGGAGACGGTCAAGCCTAGCGGACTCAACATCTGGTCGAGCGAGTCTGCATCCGGATCTGCCCCAGAAATCGAGTGAGTAAGGTTGTCTCCGTGCCCGCACCAGACTAATATTGCATAGTATCATCCTTGTCCAAGGACTAGGCGCTCATCCATTCTACACGTGGGTTAAAAAAGCTCCAGCACCAGAAGTGACCGCACCAAGGAGGTTAAGGGATAAGGCGAAGGTCTGGAAGAGACGGACACGCGACAGAAATGGGGAAGGCAGCTCAGCGGAGGTGATGTGGCCTCGAGACCTACTTGTGCCTCGCTTCCAAAATGCGCGCATTGCTACATACAGCTACAAATCCGACTGGAAAGATCGCAACGTGAAGACCAGCTTGCGCGAGTGCGCTGAACAGCTCCTGAATGTATTGTTCCAGCATAGGCAGCATGAGCATGTAAGCGGTTTTTGTGCTTCCAGTGAGTGTCGTACCTAACGCAACTACTACAATAGGAACGTCAGCGACCGCTCGTTTTGATCGGGCACAGCTTTGGAGGCCTTGTCATCCAACAGGTCTGCTGTATGTTAGTTGTTAAGCTAGATATCGCTGCTAACTGAAGTAGGCGCTCGTCATTGCCGTCCACCAGAAACCATTTGCAGATATACGCCGCTCTGTCGGAGGCATTATCTTCCTTGGGGCGCCTTTCCAGGGAAGTGATGTAGCCGTATACGGGAAATGGCTCGCTCAGGTTGGTGGATTGGATCCTACGTTGTTGGAGTCACTAGTCAAGGACTGCCCAAGCCTCCATGCTCTATCAAGAGATTTCTGGGGCAGTTATAGTAATTGGGATATTGTGTGCTTCTATGAGAACAAAGACTTCGTCTGTGGGCCTTGGAAAACACGTGTTTGTCTCGGCGTCTCTATTTACCGGTGTAACATACTAATCGCTTGCAGTTCGTAGACGCTCAATCAGCTAGTCTACTCGGAGAAAGGATGATGTACTTGAATACCGACCATTCCGGACTGAACAAATTCAGTGGAGAGGATGACAGTAACTATGCATTGCTGCTCCCAGAGATTGAACGGATAGTAAGGGAGGGACCATCAGTCGTACTCAACCGGCATCGTAGAAATGGTATGGAACAGATAGGAGGCGCATACTCTTTGAAATCAGAGACTAACCAGTTAATTATAGATCAATATGACTCCCTTGGAAACAAACACTGGATGGTCCCTCGCGCTCTTAACACCTTATTTACCGGACGCAAGGATTTGCTGGGACGAATACAAAATGCCTTCCTCAGTGACCGCCCTTCCGACCATCATACGCAGAGGACATTCGTGATTACTGGTCTAGGAGGACTAGGAAAGAGTGAGGTCACCCTACACGCTGCGAATTTGATGCGAGAGGAGTACGTACTAATGGCGCTTCTTACGTGATTTCCCTTGGCTGACTATGATAGGTTCTGGGGAATCTTCTGGGTAGACGTCGACACCCCTTCTCTCGCCGAAAGCGCCTTTATCAACGTTGCAAAAAAGATAGGATCATCGTCATCGGTTGATAAGCTGCAGGACGCGCTCCAAGTGCTTGCAAACACTAAGAAGAGCTGGCTTCTTATCCTCGATAATGCTGATGATCCAGAATTCGACTACCAGAAGTACCTCCCGTCTGGTACTCACGGTGCCGTGATCATAACGTCCCGTGTCTCCGAATGCAGCCAGTACAATACAGTTGGATCCGAAGCACTTTTAGGTCTTGATATACCAGACGCCAAAAAGCTCCTGCTCAAATCCGCGAAAATCCATGAAGACCTACTCTACGATAGCCACGCGGAGGAAGTTGTCAATCTACTAGGATCGCATACCCTTGCACTAATTCAGGCTGGCGCATACATAGCGAACGGTCACAGCCGGTTGGAAGAGTACCCCGAAGTGTACAAGCGACAGCGCAAACGACTACTTGAGTACAAGCCGAAGCAGGGGCAGTCGAGATACTGCAACGTGTACGCCACGTTTGAAGCATCTGCCGATATTCTAGAGCGTTCTAACGACGAAGCTGCGAAAGATGCTCTGCGTTTGCTCGAAGTCCTATCAATGCTATACTCCGGTAGTCTTCCTATGCAAATCTTTGAAGATGCATGGACAGGTTGCAGGGAGATTCTCCGTACGCCGTCCGTAGAAACTAGAGATATGGATAGTCTGTCCCGTGAGCACATCTCTCGACTACCCGAGTTCATATCCACGCCCGCTGATGCCTGGGATCCCTACCGTCTCATCGAAGCGAGTTCTTTACTTGCATCCCTCTCTCTGGTTACAAAAGATTCCTCCGGGTTGTCCATGCATCCTCTCACACACGCCTGGGCTAAAGATCGCCAGGCGTCGGACCAGCAGGGGCATTCTTGGATCAGCACAGGATGTATTCTTGCCCTATCCTGGTCCGAATCTACTCTTTCGCAGAGCGAGGAGAGACAACTACGACCACAAGTGCAGTCTTACCTCGATATAGAAGTCAACGCAGCCTTCTCGTTCGGGCCTGAGACTATGGTGATCCCGATCTTTCTCCAGTGCGGCTGGATCCTGGACAAAATGCGAGATGATTCTAGACTCGGTCATCTTCTAGACGACTTGTTTGCTAAACTTCATATCGACCCAAAAATTCCATCGCAGGAGTATTTACCGATCTATAATCTCGAAGCAAGGAGCTTATACAATCTAGGGCGACATGAGAGGGCCGTGAAGCTGCTAGAGCAGATTGTTAAGATTGAAGAAACCCTCGCGGAGGATCACCCAGATCGGCTGGCATCGCAGCACGAGCTTGCCCGTGCTTACGAGGCAAATGGGCAAATTTCGGAGGCCGTGAAGCTGCTAGAGCACGTCATCAAGATTGAAGGAACCTCGCTGGCAGAGGATCACCCTTCTCGGCTGGCATCGCAGCAGGTGCTTGCCAGTGCTTATCAGGCGAACGGGCAAGTTAAGGAGGCTGTAAAGCTGCTAGAGCACGTTGTTAAGATCCGCAAAATCACGCTTGCAGAGGATCACCCCGCTCGGCTGGCATCGCAGCACGCGCTTGCCTATGCTTATAAGGCGAATGGGCAAGTTCCACAGGCTATAAAGCTGCTAGAGCACGTTGTTAAGATTAAAACCACGCTAGCAGAGGATCACCCTTCTCGACTGGCATCACAGCACAACCTTGCCTGTGCTTATAAGGCAAATGGGCAAGTTAAAGAGGCCGTAGAGCTGCTAGAGCACGTTGTTAAGATTAAAAGAACCACGCTGGCGGAGGATCACCCAGATCGGCTGGCATCGCAGCATGCACTTGCCTATGCTTATCAGGCGAATGGGCAAGTTAAGGAGGCTGTAAAGCTGCTAGAGCACGTTGTTAAGATCCACAAAATTACGCTTGCAGAGGATCACCCAGATCGGCTGGTATCGCAGCACGAGCTTGCCATTGCTTATAAGGCGACTGGTCAAGCTCCAAAGGCTGTAGAGCTGCTAGAGCACGTTGTTAAGATTAAAAGAACCGCATTGGAAGAGGATCACCCAGATCGGCTGGCATCGCAGCATGCGCTTGCCAGTGCTTATCAGGCGAATGGGCAAGTTAAGGAGGCTATAAAGCTGCTAGAGCACGTTGTGAAGATCCGCAAAATTACGCTTGCAGAGGATCACCCAGATCGGCTAGTATCGCAGCACGAGCTTGCCCGTGCTTATAAGGCGAATGGGCAAGTCCCGAAGGCCGTGGAGCTGCTAGAGCACGTTGTTAAGATTAAAGAAACCCTAGCAGAGGATCACCGAGAACGGCTGGTATCGCAGCATGAGCTTGCCGTAGCTTATAAGGCGAATGGGCAAGTCAAGGAGGCCGTAGAGCTGCTAGAGCACGTTGTCAAGATCAGACGATCCAAGCTGTCCGACAATCATCCAGATCGAATTGTATCCGAAGAGTGGCTGGCCTACTGCTTAGGACAGGTATAACCCGATCAGCAGATTTGCTATCCAGGGCGTGCTTGGAAGCGGCATACAATATCTCCGAGGCATACTGGTGATGGAAAGCGCTAAACAGTTGAGGCATTCAGGTTATATAAGCGGTGTAGGTAGAGGTTGCCTAGGAACGTGTTTTCTATTATGTATAATAATTGTACATACTACTTAGATCTTGAACACGAACGCATGACGTTAAGAATAAGACGATGGAAGGTTAGACGAAAGCTGTTACTCTACACACGACCCCTTCCCTTCCTCTTTTCCACTTCGCCTTTTTCTTCACCTTCCCGCTCCAATCTCCCTTCCAAGAATAAGATCGTCAAAGAGGTTCTTGCGCCGTCTCGCGGACGCCAACGGCTTCTACAAGATCGCGATCGCCTCAAAAACGGGAGGATGGGACTCTAGAGCTTTGACTGGATGAGCAGACGTTGAGTTTCCTACTTCAAGTGTATTAGTATAACAATTCCAACACCAAAAGCGAACAGCGCAACAATCTCACCTCTCACCCTCACCCTCACACCAATCACACAAGAAAAAGTCTTCTAATAACAAAAACCCAACCATCTTCCCAGACAGCCAGTTCGCCTTCAATTCGCAGCCACAAGACACCACGTCTAACTCAACTAAGATATTCTATATACACTCCCCTTCCTCGCCACCCACCCCTCCTTCTAATGACACGACACGTAAGAATGAAATCACCAAACCCACCCCCCCAGCGCCCATGAAAAAGAAAGCACAACACATTAAGACATTCGATAATTTACGCGGGCAAAAACGCGTCTATGCTCGCCATTACTACAGGACTACTCTCCCAAACGCTTATTCTAGAAATGCGCCACCGCAACCGCAATAGCCTGCTCATCGCTGTGGCTAATGCTGACGCTGACCTTCTTGACGCCGGCCAGCTTGGCGGATTTTTCGGCTTCGCCGGAGAGCTGGGGTGATGATGTTAGTAAAACTGGTAAAAGAGGGTGAGGACAGGGGAGGGGTGTGACAGCTTACCTTAACAACAGGCGCACCCGTCTCATCCGAGCCAATCTCAATATCCTTCAATGGGGCCCCAGCGCCCAACGACTTCACCCCGAGCGACTTGAACACGGCCTCCTTCGCCGACCAGCGTCCCGCGAAGCTAGCTTGCGGCGAGGGCGCCGCGTTGCAGTACTTCTGCTCCGCGGCAGTGAAGTTGCGCTCGACGAACGTGTCGTTCTCGATATTAATCGCCGCCACGCTCTCGACATCGACGCCGATCTTCGAGTGCTCCGACTGCGTCGCCGTCGCAAGCCGCTCGACCAACTTGCGCGTCTCCTCGGTCTTCGAGTCCTTGGGCGGCTTGGCGAGGCCCTTGGGCGAGTAGGCGTACTGCGCCGACTTGCTGTCGAGCGAGACGCGGGCCCGCGGGTTGAGGAAGACGTCGTTCATCTGCGCGTCCTCGTACGGCGACCTGTCCTTGGCGCGGAACATGGTGTTGTTGATGAGGCCGTCGTGGAAGTAGCGGTAGGCCTTCTTCTGGCGGGCTTCTACCTTTTGCTTGTATGTGGCGTATTCGCCGTACTCGAGCGCGGCGAAGAGATACTTGGGGTGGATACCAACGGCCTGAGCACCCTTTTGGCCGAAACCGAACGACGTGACAGAGAAAGCTTTGACGCCATCGGTTTGGATGCTGCGCGATGGGTAGACGATGTAGTCGAATTGCTCCATGACCTTGTCAATGTTGTCGGCGTTGCGGTTACCCGGGACCAGGCCGGAGTTCAAGACTTGGAGGCAGCCGTTGAACATCCACGCACCGGCAGCACCCTTGGGATGACCTGTGAGGTACTTTTGGAAGATGCCCAGAAGGGCGTTGCCCTTCTTGCGGCCAAGATGACGCATTTGCTGGCAGATGACATCGGATTCGTTCTTGTCGTTGGCAACGGTAGACGTGCCATGGAAGGAAGCAACATCTAGATCGTCAATTGTAAGACCCCACGTAGCAAGGGCACCACGTAGAGGAGCGATGCGAGGATCTGACTTCCAGAAGTTGTTACCCAAGCTGTTCAGCGCATCCTTTACCTGTCGCTTGGCTTCACGGTCAATGTGAGCAGTTCGTTCCGCAAGATACTCGGCTTCGTCAAAGGACTCTCCACCAGCCTTCATGGCAGCGAGCTCCTCTTCCAGGTATAGGATCTCGGATTCCTGCCACTGGCTGATCTGCTTGCGACGTAGGTTCATCTGGCGTTTCCTGTACTTGATGTCTAGCAGAGGCGACTTGAACTTGGACTCAATCTCGCGCGCAGTGGTGAGAACACCCTTGCCTGGAGCAGGAACAGACCGGCCGATCTTGTCAGTAGCCGTAGCAGTGAAACCAATGACACCATAGATTGGCACGCCCATGTCAAGGGCCAATCTAGCATCCATGATGACTTGCAGACCGCAACCTTGGGATTCCATGAAACCGTTCCTGGTGGTGGTTGTGGGTCGAGACATCTCCCCTGGAGTACGTCCGTGGGCAAACTCTTCCTCGGCGTTGCTTGTAGCTTTCATGTTGGCGAACTCGTATGATCCTTCTTCCTGGAAGTCATCGAAACCACCGACAAAACAGACTCTGGCCTTGCCCTCAACGATCGTGTCGTAACCAATGTCGATGGATTCGACGGCAGTAGCGCAAGCTCCGACCGGCGTCTTGATTGGACCAGTCGACGACATCAACAACATGTTGACCCAGGCACTCATCGTGTTGATGAAAGATTCTTGTAGGATGTCCTTCTGAAGGGGCTTGTCCAAGAAACGATCCTTGTACATGCCTCTCAGAGCAGTGGTGCCACCAATACCAGAACCAATACAGTTGCCCACTTCAGATATGTGCACATACTTGTAGAACTCGTAAGGATCGGTGATACCCGAGGAAAGCAAAGCTTCCGCGGTGGAGACCAAAACGAAGAGAGTGACTGGGTCCACTTGAGAGATGATGTCGTCCGGCACGCCGTACTTCTTTGCGTCCCAGCCAGTAGGAACCTGGCCGGCGACGAGACGGTCAAAGCGAAGAGCTTTGGGAATGAGAAGGGTAGCACCCTTCCGTAGGCGGACGGTGTACTCCCCTGAGTCGGGTATTTCGAAAATGTCGACTTTATCGCCATGCTCACGTTTGAACTCCTCAGCAGTCTCCTTCGAAGACTCAAATGGATCGAGGTCTTCTTCAATTTGGATCTCTTGCATGAGTTGCTTCTTTTTCGGATCATAACCATTGAAGAGCTCTGGTTCGATGAGGCGGATACCAGAGTGCTCGAGGATGTGCTTTTCGTATTTCGCCTTGACATCTTTGTCGTCGACTGGCTCGTTGGTCTTCGCATCAACCCAACCAGAGTAGCTCTTTCCTTTAAGCGGACCGTTGTGATTCTTGATGAGGCCCATCATCCAGGACATTTCGATGCAGCCCTCCAGCGAGAATTCACCATAGGCCTCCATCTCCCACCGTGTCCTTGAGTTACCCCAAGGACCAACCTCGGCGAAACCAGTGACAACGACGACCTTCTCTAGATCAACCATACCTTTGAGGTCGGAGTTGAGAGGCTTGACTTCGGTCTCCCAATCCGGAACCTTAGGAAAGTCGTACTTCATGTTGGCTCTCGGCTGCACCGTAGCCCTCTTGTACATGGCCTCGCTTTCCTCGCCATTGACAATCTTATTTTCGATGGCATTCTCCTTGATAACAGCCTTGCGAACGTCGGCGGTCTCCATGTGCTCCTTGCGGAGGTCTTGCATAAGATCCTTGAGGTTGGGAATGTACTGGAAGCCTCCGTTCAGATCAGCCCAGACAGGTTCGACCTGGCAAAGGTTGACAATAGGAGGGGCCATCAGGCCAAGAATGTTGAAGGCCATCTCTTGTTGAGAGAAGGTGCGCACGCCGTACTTCTCAATACCCTCTGCAACGATATTGTTTCCAGACATCAGACCAGTTCCACGAGTCCAGCCAATGACAGCTCCGCAGATAGTCAAGTAGCTGCCCCAGCTCTCGGAGTGCCACCTGGTGAAGAGAGTTTCCAGTGCAATCTTAGATTCCGCGTACATTCCATCGTTTCCAAAAGTGCCGTGGTTGGGCGACAGCGGGAGCATGACTTGGGCGGGTCGGGTCTCGTAGCCATTTGCCTGCTTGTGAGTCTTGACACAGCCAAGCATTCTGAGCAGGTTCGTCAACATGATCCTGTGCGCCAGCTCAGACTTGGAGTCGAGGCCATCGATCTCGCGGCCATTCTCGGGGATGGCGGCGAAGGGAACGATGTAATCCAGGTCCCAGCCGAGGCCCTTCTTGGGGTCGTAAATGTACTCGACCAAAGCCTCGATGTCCTGCTTGCTACCCTGGTTGAAAGGAACCACGATAAGCTGCGATCCACGTGCACCGTAGCGGGAGTACATCGATTGGTAGTACTCGTTGACCTCACGAGAGAATCGCGATGTTGTAACGACAACCTTGGCGCCACCACTGATCAACCCCTGGAGGACTTCAGCACCGATTGACCCAGCACCAGCCCCAGTCATGAGTGCGTTCTTGCCCTGGAAGCTGACACCAGACTTGGCTGCGTTCTCCAAGCCCTCGAGGTACACGCCGGTCAACTTCTTGCTGTACTCCCAGCCATGCTCGTCTTTCCTCTTCAAGTGAAGGAAGGGGATCGTCTCTACCTTGCCCTTTTTGAGAGGTCCATTGAGACGGCCATTCCGACCTTTCTTGCCGGCGCCATTAACCTTTCCGTTCTCGTTAGGCATAATTTGGCCTTCGTTCATCGAGAGGGAGCGGATGACATCACTGTACAGACTCTTGATCTGCAGTTGAGACGACTTCGATAGCTTGTGTTGTTGACGAATGAGCTTGTAGATACGCTGGAGATCATTCTGGACCTTGGTTCGGTTCCCGTACTCCGAGAGTTTTCCGCCCTCAGCCATCTCGCGAACGTAGTGCTCAAGCTTCCGTACGCTGGGTCGTGGTACTTCCGAGTAGTTCAGGTTTCCGCGGTTGTCGATATCAAGATGAGGTGCTGTGGGAACACTGACATCCTTGAAAACTGGCGCTTCCGACATGACGTCCTTACAGTTCTCGATCAGTTGCTGGCCGAGCTCTTTCGCCAGTTCGTACGTCTCTCCGCGCTCGGTCGGGCAATGGTCCATGTGGTACTGCATGAAGTCGAGGAGTAGGGGGTTGGAGCGGTTCATGATGCTAATGCATCGGCTGACAATCTCACGGTCGACAGCCTTTAGGCGACCGAAGATGATGTCGTAGTACATGCTGAGAGCATCCTGGCGGGCCCAATTCCAGGAAGAGTCGTATACTCTGGCCTTCAGGGGGGTGAAGGATGGCTCAATGCCGGCCGCATAGATGTCACCGTGTTCGGCAGTCCACAGATCCAGTTGAGCCTGGAGGGCGGATGCAGCCTTCTGCGAGCCCAAAAAGGCCTTGTCGCCGGCCCGCAGATCCATCTTGAGATATCTCGCGAAGAGTTCTAGTTGTTGCTTGAATAGCGCGCGCTGGTCCTTGGTGAGGGCATCGATGGCAGCGGGGTCCATCATCATACCACCTGCCGCACCACCAGCATCACCGCCAGCAACAGGCGCTGAAAGGTTGATTCCGGCCGTCGCCGCATATTTGTTCGAGATTTCATCGAGCCATGCCTTTCCGTCATTCTCAGATCCAAGACGGGCGGCTGGCTCGGAGGTGAGACCGAGAAGTAGAACTCCGTCTTGTCGTCCCGGGCCAAGCCCCCACCGCGTCTCTAGATGTTTCCGCACCGCTGTGATGTTGAAGCCACCGGGCATTTTCGACGAAACCATGCGGGCTATGAGGGAGGAGGACTGCTTTCCAAGCTGACCATTGAAGGTAGCCTGCATCGCTGCTCCTAATTCGTCCAAGGGGGTATCTTCTGGCTTCTCCGGCGTGGAGCCAAACTCCTTGCCCAAATCTCCCAGAATTTCATTTTGTAGTGTAGATTTGCCTGTTGAGATGTATTAGTTGCTGAGCGAGTCGTGGGGTAAATTTGAGGATGTTCTCACCTCCTACCAAATCCTTGATCGCCTTGCTCAATGGGATGTCCAGGAGTGCCTTCTTCAGCTTCTGAGCAACCAGTGTCCGCAAAATGTCAGTTGCGGTCACCGGAGCATCCGGTACCTGGGCTGCTGGACCACTGCTGGCCGCAGCTGGCGCCGAAGCGACTGGTGCTGCTGAGGCGGGTGCGGAGGAGGAGGCCGGGGTTGATGAAGAGCTGGCGGGCGCTGCCTCGGGCTCGTCTTCGACCGGGTCTACGTCGTAGTAGATGTCTTTGGCGTCCTTGTTGTAGCACAGGATCTGCCGCGAAACAGATAGGGCTGCATCGTGGGCTTCGTACTTGGAGGCCAGCGTCCGCTTGGCCATGACGCCGAGGGTGTCTGCAGGGCCAATTTCGACGATTCGCTCCGTCCTCTTCTCGCCGAGGACGACATCCTGCGTCTCAATCCACCTCACGGGCGAGGCGAACTGGTATGCGAGAAGCTCCACCAGGAGGGTGTGAGCCAGTTCCTGCTCGACTTCGGGACGCATAGTGGCGGGATGCGCGGAGAGTTTGAGAAAAGTCCGGGGCGCGCTCAATTGGCGTATGTGAGGAGTATAGTGGTATCGAGGAGTGTTTAATTGCAGCTTCCTGACGCCAAAGAGGGGAGGCTGTAGCGTAGGGAGGGAGGTCTGGAGAGGAAGGGCGGCGCGCTACCAGGAATTGCGGTCTAAGGGTATCTTAAGGCGAGGGAAGGAATTGGGAAGGGGAGCAGGCAACACCACGGCACGCAACGCCCATATGATGATTACAATCGGGAGGGCTCTCGGACGAGGGGAGCAGGATGCAGGATTCAAAAGTGTTGACGCTTATCTCCCCAAAAATGCAGACTCGGGCCAGACAAAAACCAGCTCTGGGTGTTGAGTTCTGGGGTCGCGCTAGGAAGTTAGCAGCGACAGGGGAGCTCGCTGTGCAAGAGCGACCCAACGAAACGCCGCAGCCTGATGTCACTGCGGTTTAGGACGAGACGGGAACACTTGGCGACGCTCAACGAGCAGCCGTCTATTCACGATCACTAAACGCAGCCGCGGATTAGTCGAGAGGCACGACACCGGGCGCGCAAGACAGCATCCGCTCGCAAAGCCAGCCCTAAATTGAGCCGGAGGCCGGAGCAGCGCCACATCTCTCCTGTTGCCCGAGCAGCCACCCCAACCAAAATGCCCCTGCCCCGACTCAACCCCTAGCGCAAGGCCGTGCCTGCCGTCTGGAGAGCTTTCCCGCCGAAAAGTTGCCCAAAGCCGCGGCGATTAATTGCCCACCGCCCTCGCCCATTGTCTGACCACTCTGTCTACCTCGCGCGCTCCATCTCTCTTCTCGCCCCAGTCCATATACCCACTCCAGCGTGTCAGTCTGCGTTGTCACCGAGCCCGCAGCAAAGCACATCAGGGCGCTCCTCCGAGAAATTCCTCCGTGTCGCGGTAGATTAGCTTCTACTGTATCGACGGCAGCGAGGTATGTGGCGCTGCCATCCCCTTGAGATTCCTCGATATAGCACTGTCTTTCCAATTGAGCTCTTGTGGTGTCTGGCATATTTCAAGAACCAAATTTTGACCTCCGCAGACTTCGCCCGGCTCTCCCGCCTACTCCTCTCCCCACCACCACCATCATGTACGGATCAGGACCGCAGACGGGCATTTCTACGCCGCGCTCGCAGGCCTCACTCCGTCCGCTCGTTCTGTCCTATGGCTCGCTCGAGCACACCCTCCTCATCCCCACCGCCCTCCACTTCAACGCCCAGCAGTTGAAGGACACATTCATCTCCACCCTCCCGCAGCCCACAGACGAGCTTGCCCAGGATGACGAGCCCTCGTCAGTCGCAGAGCTTGTCGCCCGATACCTCGGCTTCATGGCCCAGGAGGTTGAGGAGGGCGACGACCCGGGATCGTTCGAAGAGGTTTTGAAGCTCGTGCTGAACGAATTCGAGCGCGCCTTCCTACGAGGAAACGAAGTGCATGCTCTGGCTGCTTCGCTACCTGGAATTGAGCAAAAGAAGCTGGTCACCATCCGGTCATACTACGCAGCTCGGGCTGCCGTGGAACGCCCCATCAAGCACCACGAATCGGCCCTGTTTCGCGAGGCTGGCGACGAGAATGCCACGGTCTATGCCGTTCTTGGAGGCCAGGGAAATATTGAAGAATACTTCGAAGAGCTGAGAGAAATCTATACCACATACCCCTCCTTCGTGGAGGATTTCGTTGCAGCAGCTGCAGCCCACCTGCAAGGGCTTTCGCGGGACCCCCGCGCCGAAAAGCTCTACTCGAAGGGCTTAGATGTGATGCGATGGCTGAACAACAAGGATTCGCAACCCGACGTCGACTACTTAGTATCTGCTCCGGTCAGCTTCCCCCTGATCGGACTGACTCAATTGGCCCATTACGTTGTGACCTGCAGAGTTCTCGGAAGCCACCCGGGACACATTAGAGACCGCCTCAGCGGTGTGACTGGCCACTCTCAAGGTATTGTGACTGCCGCTGCTATCTCAGAGTCGAGAAACTGGGAGACATTCGAGAAAGCTGCTAAGAAGGCCCTCACTGTTCTCTTCTGGATTGGCTCGCGCAGTCAGCAGGCCTACCCACGGACATCCATCGCACCCGCCATCCTTCAGGACTCTATGGACAATGGAGAAGGAGTCCCAACTCCTATGCTTTCCATTCGAGATCTATCAAGGAAAGCCGTCCAGGACCACATTGATGCTACAAACCAGCATTTGCCCGAGGATAGGCACATTGGCATCTCCTTGGTCAACAGTGCTCGGAATTTCGTCGTGACTGGTCCCCCTATCTCCCTCTATGGTCTCAACTTGAGGCTTAGGAAAGTCAAGGCGCCTACCGGTCTTGATCAGACTCGGATTCCCTTCACTGATCGCAAGATTCGTTTCGTTCATCGCTTCCTTCCCATCACCGCGCCATTTCATAGCCCTTACCTTGCGGAAGCTACAAAGCAATTGCACGAAGATCTCAAAGATGTGGTTATCAGCGGCGATAGCCTCGGCATCCCCCTCTACGATACCGAAACCGGCAAAGACGTCCGGGACGAAGAGCTGGACAACATCGTTCCCAGTCTTATCCGGATGATTACCCACGATCCTGTGAACTGGGAAAAGGCTACGGAATTCCCCGACGCCACCCATATTCTAGATTTCGGCCCCGGAGGCATCTCAGGTCTTGGTGTCTTGACCAACCGCAACAAGGATGGCACTGGCGTTCGTGTTATTCTTGCCGGTACCATGGACGGTACAAATACCGAGGTTGGCTACAAGCCTGAGATCTTCGATCGAGACGCTGAACATGCCGTCAAGTACGCGGTTGACTGGGTCAAGGAATTTGGCCCTAGATTGGTCAAAACATCTGCTGGCCAGACATTCGTCGATACCAAGATGAGCAGACTTCTTGGTCTGGCGCCAGTCATGGTCGCTGGTATGACTCCCTCCACAGTTCCCTGGGATTTCGTAGCTGCCACCATGAACGCTGGCTACGAGATTGAACTGGCAGGTGGTGGGTACTACAACGAAAAGACCATGACCGAAGCAATCACCAAGATCGAAAAGGTCATTCCCGCTGGACGTGGTATCACGATCAACTTAATCTACGTCAACCCACGTGCCATGGCTTGGCAGATTCCTTTGATCGGAAAACTCAGAGCTGACGGTGTCCCTATTGAGGGTCTCACCATTGGTGCGGGGGTGCCATCCATCGAGGTTGCCAATGAATACATCGAGACACTCGGCATCAAGCACATTGCCTTCAAGCCCGGATCAGTCGAGGGCATTCAGTCGGTCGTCAACATTGCGAAAGCGAACCCAACATTCCCAGTCATAATGCAATGGACCGGTGGTCGTGGTGGTGGGCATCATTCGTTCGAGGATTTCCACCAGCCTATTCTCCAGATGTACAGCCGAATCCGCAAGTGCGATAACCTCATCCTTATCGCCGGTAGTGGTTTTGGAGGCGCCGAAGATACCTATCCATATCTCACTGGAACGTGGTCTAACAAATTCGGATTCCCTCCGATGCCCTATGATGGCTGTATGTTTGGCAGCCGCGTCATGACCGCAAAGGAAGCTCATACTTCTAAAAACGCCAAGCAAGCGATTGTCGATGCTGAAGGTGTGGACGACGCCGACTGGGAGCAGACTTACAAAAGCCCAGCTGGTGGAATCATCACAGTGCGCTCTGAGATGGGCGAGCCGATCCACAAACTTGCAACTCGGGGCGTCTTGTTCTGGTCCGAGATGGATAAGGAGGTATTTGCCCTGGACAAGGCTAAGCGCATCCCGGTGCTCAAGAAGAAGCGCGACTACATTATCAAGAAGCTCAACGACGACTTCCAGAAGGTCTGGTTTGGCCGCAACAAGGCTGGCGAGTCTGTTGATCTGGAAGATATGACCTATGGCGAAGTCATCCGACGCATGGTTGACCTGATGTATGTCAAGCATGAATCAAGGTGGATTGATCCGAGCTTGAAGCGTCTGACTGTGGACTTCATCCGTCGTGTGGAAGAACGTTTCAGCAAAGTGGATAGAGAGTCGATCATCCAGAGCTATGAGGAACTGAACACTCCTTTCCCCGTCGTCGAGAAGGTTCTCCAAGAATACCCAGAGGCGGACGAGCAGCTTATCAACGCTCAAGATGTCCAGCACTTCCTCCTCCTTTGTCAACGTCGTGGCCAGAAGCCTGTTCCATTCGTCCCAGTGTTGGATGACACTTTCGAATTCTTCTTCAAGAAGGACTCTCTCTGGCAATCCGAGGATCTCGAAGCGGTTGTCGACCAAGATGTTGGCAGGACTTGCATCTTGCAAGGTCCCATGTCCGTTAGATATTCAAAGGTCGTTGACGAACCTGTCAAGGATATTCTGGACGGCGTTCACGAAGGCCACATCAAGAGCTTGATTCAAGACGTCTACGGTGGAGATGAATCCAAGATTCCAGTCATCGAGTACTTCGGCAGCAAGCTGCTTGGTGCTACCGAAGACATTGAAGTTGAAGGTCTTACCGTCTCAGAGCTAGATGACAAGGTCATCTATCGTCTTTCATCTGCCCCCAACGCGACTCTACCAGACGTGCAGTCTTGGATGCAACTCTTGGCCGGGAAAATCTACTCTTGGAGACACGCCTTCTTCACGGCCGACGTTTTTGTTCAAGGACAGCGATTCCAGACTAACCCCATGCAACGAATTTTCAAGCCAACCCTTGGCATGATGGTTGAGATCGCTCACCCAAATCAACCCGCTGAAACGGCCATCACCATTAAGGAGCCTTACCATGGCGGCAAGCACGTCAAGACAGTAGAAATCAGCATGATCCAGAACAACGAGATCTTGGCGAACATGTATGAAGAAAGGACCTTCTCTCACAGGCCAGTTGCCCTTCCTCTCAAATTCACGTACCACCCAGAGACAGGTTACGCTCCCATTAGAGAGGTTATGGAGGCTCGCAATGATAGGATCAAGGAATTTTACTACCGTATCTGGTTCGGCGACGAACCAGTTCCGTTTGACGCTCCTGTCACATCTCGATTCGAGGGTGGTCGAGCCACTGTCACCAGCGAGGCTATTAACGACTTTGTCCATGCGGTTGGTAATACTGGAGAGGCTTTCGTGGATCGTCCTGGAAAAGAGGTTTGGGCTCCTATGGATTTCGCTATCGTTGTTGGCTGGAAGGCTATTACGAAACCGATCTTCCCCAAGGCGATCGATGGTGATCTTCTCAAACTCGTTCATCTTTCCAACGGCTTCCGAATGATCGAAGGCGCCCAGCCTCTCAAGAAAGGAGACGTTCTCGACACGACGGCTCAGATCAATGCAGTGATCAACCAAGAGTCTGGAAAGATGGTTGAAGTCTGCGGCACGATTACCAGGGATGGTGAGCCTGTAATGGAGGTTACCAGCCAGTTCTTGTATCGTGGCGCCTACACAGACTTCGAGACTACATTCCAGAGGAAGAACGAGACTCCCATGCAGCTGCACCTCGGTACCTCCAAGGATGTTGCTATTCTTCGATCCAAGGAATGGTTCAACCTTGAGGAACCAGGCATTGAGCTTCTCAACAAGACCTTGACGTTCAAGCTCCAGAGTCTTATCCGGTACAAGAACAAGACTGCTTTCAGCTCCGTCCAAACTGTTGGTGAGGTACTTCTCGAACTCCCTACCAAGGAAATCATCCAGATTGGCTCTGTTGAATACGAGTCTGGCTTTTCATACGGCAACCCCGTCTTGGATTACCTTCAACGGAACGGAGCAACTATCGATCAGGCTGTCAATTTCGAGAACCCTATTCCCTTGAATGGAAAGACTCCCCTCACATTGAAGGCACCTGCTTCCAACGAGACCTATGCTCGTGTCTCTGGAGATTACAATCCCATTCACGTTTCTAGGGTGTTCTCAAGCTATGCCAACCTTCCTGGAACCATTACTCATGGAATGTATTCCAGCGCTGCCGTTCGAAGTCTAGTAGAGACATGGGCCGCTGAGAATCACATCGGTCGCGTGCGTAGCTTCCATGCTTCTCTGGTTGGAATGGTTCTTCCGGATGACATTATTGATGTCAAACTTGAACATGTCGGTATGATCTCTGGTCGCAAGATCATCAAGATCGAGGCCTCCAACAAGGAGACTGACACCAAGGTCCTCCTGGGCGAGGCTGAAGTCGAGCAGCCAACCTCCGCCTACGTTTTCACCGGACAAGGCTCACAGGAGCAGGGTATGGGTATGGATCTCTATGCCAGCAGCCCGGTCGCGAAGGATGTCTGGGATCGTGCTGACAAGCATTTCATGGACAACTATGGTAGGTTTCCTCAACGTCTATCTGCTATTCCCTGACTTACACACTCTAGGCTTTGCTATCACCAACATCGTCAAGAACAACCCGAACGAGCTTACCATCCACTTCGGTGGACCCCGCGGTAAGGCGATTCGCCAGAACTACATGTCGATGACCTTTGAGACTGTCAGCTCCGATGGCTCCATCAAGTCCGAGAAGATCTTCAAGGAGATAGACGAGAACACGACGTCATACACATATCGGTCTCCGACAGGTCTTCTTTCCGCCACCCAGTTCACGCAACCTGCTTTGACCCTCATGGAGAAGGCCTCTTTTGAGGACATGATCTCGAAGGGTCTGGTGCAGCGTGATAGTAGCTTTGCTGGCCACTCGCTCGGAGAGTACTCTGCTCTTGCTGCGCTTGCAGAAGTCATGCCTATTGAGAGTTTGGTTTCTGTTGTGTTCTACCGTGGCTTGACTATGCAGGTCGCTGTGGAGCGCGACGAGACTGGTCGATCCAACTATTCCATGTGCGCCGTCAACCCCAGTAGGATTTCGAAGACCTTCAACGAGCAAGCATTGCAATATGTTGTTGAGAACATCTCCGAGGAAACCGATTGGCTCCTTGAGATTGTCAACTACAACATCGCCAACATGCAATACGTCTGCGCTGGCGATCTCCGTGCGCTTGACTGCCTCACCAACGTGCTCAACTACCTCAAGGCGCAGAAGATCGACATTCAGGCGTTGATGGGTAGCATGTCTCTAGAAGATGTCAAGGCTCACTTAGTCGAGATCATCAAGGAGTGCGCGAAGCAGACAGAAGCGAAGCCGAAGCCGCTGGACCTACAGCGTGGTTTCGCGACCATTCCATTGAAGGGCATCGACGTGCCATTCCACAGCACTTTCCTGCGCTCTGGTGTGAAGCCCTTCCGAAGCTTCCTGCTCAAGAAGATTCACAAGACGTCGATCGATCCTTCCAAACTCGTCGGCAAATACATCCCCAACGTCACGGCCAAGCCGTTTGCGCTCACCAAGGAGTACTTTGAGGATGTGTACAAGCTGACCAACTCGCCGAAGATTGGCAATATCTTGGCAAACTGGGAGAAGTATGAGGATAAGCCTGAGGAGCCGAAAACGGCACAGGTTGCGTGATCTAGTTGAGGTTGTGTTTTATGTGACACAAGAAGGGTGGCGTTTTGGGACATGGTTTGTGGTTTTAGACGAGCGATATCCGGTTGTTCAAGTAGTGTTCCATGGTCATTAGACGAGTTGTAGATAGTAGACACGAATAATATCATCACTTCGAATACATTGTAACTATGTCGTGAGGCAATTGCCACCTCTTCCGTAAGGAGAGGTAGATGTCGGGTTAGTTGGTGAATACCTGAGTGCATTCACGAAGGTCTCATGGAGTAAATTAAGCTTAACCTCTTCCACGAACTTCGTACAAGTCCTCTCCTCACCACACACCCACACACCCAATATCTTCCTCGGTCAGGTCCCAACCTACCTACCCAACCTACCTACCAATAGGGTTAGAAACAGTAGCTGTGGCGCACCTGCACCGCCACACTTACCGGAAATCTGGTCCACCTCCGCAAACCACTGTTTACCACCGGAGCCTCTCCTAGCAACCGCATTCCCATCCATCTGCTGCTTCCACACCTCTCTGCGACCTCTATCCCACTGCTAGCATCATGGACAGACGCACATCCACCGTGCCAATGGACTTCGAATGGGAGAACAAAATCGGCGACACTGACCCAAACTCCCCGTTCATGAGGCTTCCTCGAAACAGCGCCCTGAACAATACCGCCAGAAAGCGTAAGCGACCCAACCACCACCCAACCTCCTCTCACAATTACGCGCATAGACTAACTTCAACCTCTTTCTTTGGTATTGTAGGCAATCATAACAGTGTCCTCGAGTCGCCCACGCGGATCGACCAGCCCAACGCCAACTTCCCGCGCCTCCGCGAGGCCGCGAACCAGCCCTTCTTCTTCAATAACCCGCCCAGCCCACAAAAGCCGTTGCCAGCAACTCCAAGCCTTGCTCACGTTCAGAATTCGTCGGCGTGGGATCTCCGTACACCGACCAAGGATACGGATTTCTCCTCCGGTGGTGAGACGCCGAATACACCAGACATCGGTGCGGATAGCGAGGCGACGCCGGAGACGAACGCGCGACCTGGCAAGCCGCATAGGATGCTGAGTAGCCCTGGCAAAGGAGGGAAGGTTAGCCCGAGCAAGATTAGTCGACGGGAGAGCTTCCTCAAGTTTTTCAATTTCAACTCCAGCCCGCAGCCAAGCTCTCAGAGTGGGAAGGGTGATCACTACTCACGCAATGGGGAGAGGCGGATAGTGAAGAAGCGGCATCAGAGGGGCATCAACCGTGAGGCTGTACGACAGAACCTAGAATCAGAGTCTGAAGACGACGGCGGGCGCTCACGGAGACGGCGAGAGCGAGAGCGAGGCAGCAAGAAGGACAAACGAGATCGGGACCGCGATCAGGACGACTACGACGAACCCAACAATACCAACAACCGCCCCGAAGTCCCAGTCACCCCAGCAGTCCCCCAAGGCAGCACAATCGCCAGCGTCTTCTCCTTCATAGAGAACCACCCCGGCCTCCCCCACATCCTCTCCTTCTACGCCCAATTCCTGCTCAATCTCTTCCTCGTCTTCTCCGCCATGTACATTATGTGGTCCGGCTGGAGCGCTGTCACGCACGAAGTAGAGATCCAATCCCAGCGCGCCCAAACCGAAGTCATGATCGAGATCGCAAAATGCGCCAAAGACTGGGAAGACAACGGGTGCGGTCGCACACGACCCCCACCATCTCTGAAAGATGTGTGCGCGAATTGGGAGGCGTGCATGAAGCGGGATGCGAGGAAGGTCGCGCGCGCGAGTGTGAGCGCGAAGACGTTTGCGATGATTTTCAATAGCTTTGTCGAGGAGATTGGGTATAAAGCTATGGTACGTTATATTCCCCTCCCTCACTCAATACTCCTCATATCCCTTACCCCCCTATTCTTATACCACATTGCTATCCCTTCATATCGCTAACTTGTGAACCGCAGCTCTTCACAGCCCTCCTCCTAATCACTGCAGTCGTCATCTCCAACTACGCCTTCTCCACCTACCGCTCCACCCACGCGCCTCGCCCCCCTCCGCAGTACGATCCGTATATGCACCCGCCCGCTACTCCGCAGCGCTACCCTAGCCAGGGCTTCATCGACCAGCAAGGGTTCTTCACGCCATACACGGGTTTCCATCCCAGCCAGCCTAACCTAGCGCTCGAGCCGGCGCCGAGTGGAGGCGTAGATGCGGCCGCTGCAGGGACCGAGCAGAAGAAGGCGACGGCGGCACGGACGATCAATTGGGGTGTTAGATAAAGTCGGGAAGAAAATGGGGTCCTACATGGGGAATGTGATTTCTGGAAATGGCGTCTTTTGATTAATTTCTTGACGATACAGCGAGCGGAGAGCATTGGCACCCAGTAGGGGATGTTTTGTATGCATGGGTAGGGTAGGGTTGGGTTGGGTAATATTACGTAGGCATAGGAAACGGGTTTGCGCTCGCGTTAATTCATAGTCGATGAGTAACGGATTGCATTTATTTCTGTCGGTCTATCTCTCTCGCTGCCGTTATGCTTTGAAAAGTTCTGCGCGGTTAGATTCGCGAGTCTTTGTAATTGTATTGACTAAGAAGGGGGCCATACGGCGTGCTATGCCTCCTACCCTCCTTAGTTAAGACAACTACAAAGCTTCACAGATCTATCCGCGCGAGACGGGTTTTAGAAGACGCGGAGGGGAGGCGGAGGGCGACGCGATGTGATTACTTTTCATTGCCTTCCGAAACTTATAAATCAGGTTCTCGGTAACGTAGCCGGATAGCATGTGGCACAGGATAGCATGTGGCCCACCCCATCAAATTCTCCGGAAACGCGACGCGTGATACAACTACAACCTCAATGCCTCCACCACAACAACAA